ACTCGTCAGCTGAGCTGTCTGAGAGTTTGTTAAAGTGAAATGAGACATTCAAAGATGCAGCAGTGTCCTTCTTTTACATCACTGAGACTACAGGGAGACACTGAGGACCACTATCTACGGAGAGCCTGAAGGGACAAAATAACATGAGATTAAACGAGATAGAAAAAAGTACGAGTGCATTCATCTCAGACCTTAGATAATCACGATTAACTAGTAAAAGGAAGAATGTGCGACTTTTTGATCCAGTAGATGTCGCCCTTGAGCTCCAGCATGAAACCAAAACAAACTTCTGTTTGGCCACGCCTCCTCCATCCTGAAGCCTCCGCTCTCCTCCAGCGACGCACCTCACACAGCCCCCTCCCCCTCGAGTTCACATGAAGGAGTTTAGGGCAAGCAGCGGACAAAATTATCCTCGAGCTGCAATCACCTGCGTCCTGAATTGTTGTGTTAGCATGCTAATGTTAGCGCTCTTTAGTTAGCTCGTAGCTTCACATTGTTGTGTTAGCATGCTAATGTTAGCGCTCTTTAGTTAGCTCGTAGCTTCACATTGTTGTGTTAGCATGCTAATGTTAGCGCTCTTTAGTTAGCTCGTAGCTTCACATTTCAAACTGACACAGAATGAGCGTGATCTAAAAACTCTTACTAACATCCAAATAATCAGTGAGTATGTTCTTCTTCTTCTCTCTAGTTCTTGACTAAAACAGCTTTTATACACAAGGGGAGGAGCCGGCCGTCCCGTCCATGTAAACACGGCTCTGACAACAACACAGCCAGCGGGACTCGAGCTTCTCCCTCATTGTAGACAGTCAGGACTCAGAGACACATTTACACAGGACAGACTTTATGATTTATTTATGTGTTACATGTCGCTCATCCTTTCATTAACGTTGACAGCCCGTCTTAAAAGTTCTCATTTCTGCTTGTGTGTGTAGATTGATGCTGCCCATGCTGATCATCTCCGCTGTGATGATGATCAGCAGCTACATGATTCTGTTTTTCTCCTGTCATGGAATGAAGATCTATGGAGCCTGGTTACACAAGCATCGCAACGCAGACCTGTGGCTCTTCAGAATATTGGTATATATTGCTTACAATGTATGGACTTTGACATCTCTGTTTTTTTCCTTTACATCTAGCTTTAAATAAAGGGAAGTACGGAATCTTTGGTTTACTGGCAATGTGCAGTAAAAAGCTCGTAAAAAAATAAACAAACGATAATAATTCACACATTCAGCAAACACAGGGTGATCTTTGGATTGAAGGGCAAATCTAGAGTTTGAATCCAGATGTATTTAAAGGCCAGTTTACGTGACTCTTACATCTTTACGATATATGTTAAATTATTGCCCTTCCTCAGTCAGGTCTTAAGGATTGCACGTCCTTGCATGCGGTGAAAACACACTCTTTACCTGATCCTGCCGGAAACATATGCGGCCTTCAAATGGATCTCATGAAGCTGTGGACAGGAAAGGCTTAGTGTTCAAGTGGTAACTGTATGGGAACACCGCTGCTAAGCAACGGCAACATGGACGCCAAAAGATGGCTTTGTTCGTCTCCTGGCTTTCTATATAAAAATGCAGACATTAAGCCGGTGCGCTGCATGACCTCCGTGCTCTAATGAACCTGCTGCATTATGTTTCCTGTTCTCCAGGATGTTCTTCAACCAGTTTAGGAGAATATCCAGAGCAGTCCTCCTGAAATTATCTCGATATTTTCAGGAATGCAGATGTCAAAATGGCTATTTTGTAATCTTTGTTTTAGTTAAACAAAAATAGTTAATTAGGAGTTCTCTGGGGATTTTATGACCTTTGAACAGAGCCAGGGTAATTACTCCTGTTTTCAGGCTGTTTACTAACACAACCTATATTATGAATTATAAATAAGTAGAACATATTCTCTCGTCTAACGCTGGGCAAACGAAAAAGAAGCGAAAAGCATTTTCATGAAAATGTCAAGCTATTCCTGAGAAGCAACATTTTACCAACAGGTCAGGGTCCTTTCAATTTGTTTCTGTGCCACTGCATCCTGCAGTCTGAAGAAGCCAGACACTGGTCACAAAGCTGCCGGCTGCTCTATCATCCATATATAAAGGGTGAATTCTCGTCAAAATGCCCGGTCACACTGACCGTGCACTGTGGTCTGAGATAAGAAGGCGAGAAATAGTAGAGTTAGGATACAGACAAAATACCATGAGATTGGTTTTCAGACCTTTCTTGACTTGCATTCATACTGAAGAAGTGATAAAAGGTCACAAAACACTGTCAACTATTTTTAAAGGAGCAATCAGTGAGATGTGTAGTGAATGAAATGATACAGAGACCTTACTATCTGAGACCTTCCCCCCCCCCCACATGGCCGTTTTGGACGCCCCTCAGTTTGTCCAGATATGAGAGCAGTTATCAGGTCAACAGGTGTTGCAGTGATGGAAGCGGTCAAGAGAAGTGGTTCAGATAGAAGTGATTGTACCCGACCTAAAAAGCCTCTGCATGTTTCTAATAAGCTCCACGAGCAGAAACGTGCTCAAACTAGGATCAATATTGGAGATGCTTTTGAAAAATGGAGAGAGGTTAGAACACAGAAAGGTTTACAGACCCATGCAGAGCTGGATAAACACTGAAGCTTCAGAGTCCACCACATGGCGACCTGAGTGAGTATCCACTCTAGAGAGGAGGGGGCGGGGGGGAGACAGCTCTCTATGATGTTTAGAATTTAGACTGCAGTACTCATTTTAAAGTGTCATAGTTACATACTGCTCCTTTAATTAGTACAGACAATCTGCACAATACTTCAGGATTAGGATATTTCCTTTTGAGCTTGTCACTGTTTTGGGGTGCTGTGTGAATATCTCCTTACCTCCATTTCTCTCCTGGATCTCCCACTGATTGTTTGTCAGCTCTACATGACCTGCTTGCACTGCTGAAAAGCCAGAAAAGAAACAAACAATGAAGTCTAGCTGCTGCCCCAAAATAAATCCTGAATTTAGTTATTTTACAACATGCCGTGTAAGGGCGTTAAGCTGAGGATTATCACATGTTGCAGCATCCGCTTTGGTAATCATCCAAGCTTCTTTCATTGTGTTGAATCAGGTGCAAAATGGGATAGCAGTGTATTCAACATGGGGGACTCTCGCCACTCTACTCAACCTGACGATATACTTGCAGCATCAGACGGAAGCATTAAGATGTGACTGTGCCATGCTGGCGCTGGTTCTGCTTCTGATGCAGCTGTCAGCCTGGTGAGTCGGACTCCCTGCTGTGTTCTGTCGTTCAGCCCTGGGTGCTTTTTCTTTCCCCCTCCCGAGAGAGACGATACATGAGCAAAAGAAAAACTCAATTCTTTAGTCTCTGTCTCGCTCTGCTTACAGGTTTCTGTTAGAAAACTTCTACCTTGATGAGCATGTGCGCTACATTGTGACCATCTACCCTGTGGTGATCCTGTGGTTGACGGGGATCCTGAGCAACTCCAGCTCTCCTGAGAGTTCAATTTACATCTTTGTAGGTACGGTTTGACTCCTGAATGAAGGGCGAATAACAGCACCATCTTTTTTTTATTCGTCCTTTTTATTGATTAGTATAAATATGAAACATCCTTTCCTCCCCTCTACAGCTTTAATCCTGGCTCTTTCCTGCGTCATGTTTGTGGCACGAGCCGCTTTGGTCACATGGAAGCATTGGAAACAACCGTTTTACAGAGACAACGGACCCAGTATGTCACCAGTAGAAATAGCTTTAACACAAAGAAAATTCCTTCAATGAATCATCGCTTCAGGTCACTGATTTTTCTCATCAGGAGGATTTTTTTCAGGTTGTGCATTTCTGGATAAACATCTCAGTCAGGCAGAGATGTTTATCAATGATGACGTGTGTATAGAAACTACAAGAGTGTGTAAATACTATATAAATATTAAAGGTGACATATTCTCCTCCTCTTCAACCAGTTTAAATAAATCTCAGAGCTCCTCAAAACATGTGTGTGAAGTTTCTTGTTCTAAATCCACTCTGATCCTGTATTTGATCATGCCTATAAACCCCTCTATTTCAGCCCTCCTCAGAACAGGCTGTTTCTGTGTCTGTACCTTTAAATATGTAAATGAGCTGTGTCTGACCACGCCCCCTCTCTGGAAGTGCTTGGGTGTACTCGGTGCTTTCTCGCTCCATGTCCTATTGTTTACGTGAGAAGGCAACTTAGAGGGCAGAACAAACACCTAGCTGTGGGAGTGTCACCCACCTGGGGGAGGGGCTACTGCCCTTTGTGATGTCATGAAGGGAAAATCTCCAAACGGCCTGTTTGAGCACACATTTTCTGAAAAGTGGAGCAGGTAAAAGACGGAGAGGATGGACTTTTCTCATCATTGGGGGGTTTGTAGACAGACTAGAGACACATGTTAGAGTTACAGAAACATGGAATATTTCATTTCTATTTTTCGAATATAAAAACTCTGGCTCCCTTATATATGCACTGCAGGCTGATGACTTGATGAGAGACGGGTGAGCTGGCTGAAGCAATCAAGAGGAAGAGCAGGTGAGGAGGACACTCAGAGACAAACAGAGAGCGACAACAAGAAACACAAGAGGGGGGGGGGAGCTGCAGAAACACAAGGAAACTGGTGGCCAAGGCTCAGGCATTGACATATCCAGATTTCTAGACACACAAACTGTTGGTTATTCACGACAAAAGTACAAGAACCAAAGATTCACTGAAACCAAAACCAGAGCCTGACGTCTTTTCTTTCTAAAGAATCAGCCAGTTTTTGATTTCAACTATTTTTAAATCAATAATTGAAGTTTTATTTTTAGCACAAACTCATCCCATCGATAAGGTATGTCGAGTACGATCTGCTGTGTGTACAGAGTGTCAGCACGCCCTCACTGCTAGTACACACACACACACACTTTATGTGGCATCATAATCACAGGCCATTAAAAGGTCCAATCAAAGAGATAAAGTGAAATAACACGATTCATGCTGCCATCCAAAGTCCAATGTGTTTGATTGTGAAGGCAGACGTCGGTCCTCACAGTCGTCTGAGCTGTAGCTGTCAAGGCACGATGGAGAGGATGCAGATGTCTCCCGTCTCGGCGAGACACAGTCACCATGTAGCGATACACACCGGATGCATCGGCCTGGCTGTCATTACTCAGGTGATTGCACACATCTTCTTGAACCTGGCAAAGGACAGCTGGGTGCCCAACGGTGAGTCACTCCACATTTACCAGAAAAAAATAATCTGATCAGGCCAGAAGGAAGGGCTTCAGAGCGGGGACATTTATGGTTTAAACAAGCTGGTGTGTGCTTATAGTGACCTATTTCTGTGTATGTGGGCGTCACAGTGGTTAGTGCCTCACAGCGAGGAGGTTCCTGGTTTGAATCCCCGTCTGACAGGAGCCTCTATGTGTGGAGTTTCCCTTCCTCCCACAGTCCAAAGACAAAGACATGCTCGTTAGGTCAACTGGTGACCCGTAGGTGTGAATGTGTCTGTCTCTATATGTCAGCCCTGTGATTGACTGACGACCAGTCCAGGTGTAACCCCAGCCTCTTACCCAATGACAGCTGAGATCAGCTCCAGACCCCCCGTGACCCCGAACAGGAAGTAAACCTGTCAACTTAAAGAAGTTGTTTCGAATTCAAACGATTGCATGTTTGATTGGTTTTAAAGATGGGGCATGAGATGTATGCCAATCTCAGTTTTTTTTTTACCCAAAAGCCAAACACATACGCCCCTCCCTTCACTGCTCCTTTAAATGCTCCGCCCCCGGATTATTTGTCTTTATGTTTTTTTTTTCCTGAAAGGTGTTGTGGATTAGAATCACACATCACATCTTTAAAGTTATGGAGAAATAAATTGACTTTTATAATTTATAAAACTCACTGCTGACCAAGCTTTGGCTGTCTACTGCGCACCTCGAATTAAAATAACGACCTTTGTCCTGACAGTCATTTGATTATTTTTCTGCAAGCAGCAGACCTTGATAAAAGCCAATCAAACGATTAAGACAATAACACACACACACACACACACACACACACACACACACACACACACACACACTGATAACAATCCTATCTATGGTCACAGCACTGTGACATATCCAAACCAGGGATCAGTGATTTCTTTTTGTCTTGGCGTCTCAGCTCTGTTTCAGACGTCATGCAGAAACGTCTCGGAGACCTTCCCCCTGGAGGTGACCATGGACTGGTGGTCCGAGCAGTACTGGGTTTTGGTTGACGTTTGGTCTACTCTTTGGCTCATCTATGCAGTGGTCGGCCTGTTCAACAGGTTTGTTGTCTTTAAAGCTTAATTGTAAACTGGCTTTACCAGAATTTGTTATAGTCCTTAAATCTCCAGTTTTGCAGTTTAATACGAACCCAGGATTTTACTTTGTTTAGAAATATTAGATGATGTTCACGAGGAGACACGCTGTTGAAAAATGGAGAGAGGTTAGAACACAGAAAGGTTTACAGACCCATGCAGAGCTGGATAAACACTGAAGCTTCAGAGTCCACCACATGGTGACCTGAGTGAGCATCCACTCTAGAGAGGAGGGGGGGAGACATCCTCTCTATGATGTTTAGAATTTAGACTGCAGTACCCGTTTTGAACACCAGGCGTCAGAGCTTCATACTGCTCCTTTAAACCAAGCTGCCCTTTTTTTGTACATTTAACTAAAACAAGTGCAGTTTTAAAGATCTGTTCTAACTTTGTGTAAATCTACAGAAATGTCCTCGGCCCCGAGTCCTGCAACCCAGAAATCCATCCTCCATCGTTTTATCTGATGTGGACCGTGATTAATATTTCAAGAATGTTCAGCATGACTCTTTGGGAGAGGCAGTGAGTCCTGTTTACTCAACATTTACCATGAACTAAGAAACACATGCGCACAAGCATTCAAAGCTAAACTCTGGCTCTTCCTACAGCTTTATAGTCGGAGCCGTGGCGGTCAGGTGGATTCTACCGGGGCTCAGTTTCTACATGCTCTACATGTCCTACTCTAACATCGACAAACACAAAGCCTGGCTGTCCGTCAACAACCCGGCAGTGACATCATGGACACGTTACCTGGTGAGCATGAGTTGTCTGTTGTGTGAAATTCGATGTATCTCTACATTAATGCATGCTCGTTAAAATGTTTGCAGACCCAGAACGGCCTAGCAGTGTTTGCCTGGTGGTCTCTGTTGAACGCTGTGGTGGGCCTCGGCATATTATTCAAGTACAAAGCGGGTGTGTCGGACCCGCTCATCAGCACTGTCGTCCTCACCATAGTGACCTTGTGCGCTTTAACCTGGTGAGAATAAAAGGGCTTAAAATCATGTGAGTTGTTTGTGTTTGTGAAGCAGAATAAAAAAATAAATAACTGAACATGTTGCACCTTTTCAGGTTCATCCTACGGAGCTTCTTGTTAACCAAGTACCTGCGCTACACCTTCAGCGTCTACGCCATTCTCATCCTGGGTCTGGGTGCGATGTTTACCAGGAGCTATCGCGTCCACGACCTCGCTGCAAACACGATCTATTGTGGTAAAAAAGTCCACCGCAGAGAGCATGGTGCATATCGAACAAATACATGTGTGTCTTTATTCTGCACGCTCATCCTGTCCTTCTCTTATCTGCAGGGCTCCTGATGCTCCTGATGACCATCCTGAGCTTGATTCATTTGATCTCTGAGTGTTTGCACACGGACAAGTCAACCAAACCGATTGCCGCCGAACCCCATGTGACGTTTGTGGAGACGGTATGGCAACCTGAAGGCAACATGAAACATCAACTCCACCAGTGACAACTTAAAGACTCTGTGTGTAAATATGAAAAAAAAAAAAAAAAAAAAAAAAAAAAGTCTTCTGCAACAGTGATTTATGCATGTAATGTGTGTTTATCGCCACAAGGGAGCAGCATTTACACACTTCACACAGTAGGGACACAGTAAGCACCCAGACTCACAGCAGATGGCTCAAGCTTTTAGAGGCAGTATTTAAACAATATCATGACTTTAAAAAAACATCAAAAACAAATATGAATGATGCAGGAAATGAGTCCAGTGACCACGCCACCGGGCACACAGTGACAGGTCATGACAACAAGACTGCTCGCCATCAGGATGAGTCTGCTATCCCAACACGTCCATCATGTGTATTATGACTTTCTCTCTCTCGTTCACACACACTCACACAAACACACTCCCTGCCTAAGTGAGCAGTCTGAGTGTCAAATGAGAAGCAGGAAAAAGAAAAACAGAATAAATAAAATAATGTGAGATACAAGGGAACATGAGCAAACATGAAGATAAATGATCCAGGGCCTGCACTCGCTTAATGCAGAATTTGCATAAGGAAATGTTGTGTGTATTTTGTAGTAGGCAAATGAACTAGATTAAATTAAGATATATCGGCAGTAGCTCATTCTGTAGGGTATTGGGTTGGGAACTGGAGAGTCTCCGGTTCAAGTTCTGCTGCAGACCAAGTCTGGGAATTGCTCAGGAGTGCTAGCTGCCCCTGCCCCCCCCCCCCTGACATCTCTCCATCAGTGCATGTCTGCAGGAGCCGGTGTGTGCATGTGTGTTTAAAATTGAATTTCCCATCACAGGATTAATAAAGTAGATCTGCAATCTTAATCGAACCTGTCCACATCTGAATACATTCTTGACCTTTTTGACTGATTAGGATATACGTGATATAGCGATCTGATTTGTTTATTTTATTTTGTGAAGTTTAGTTTTTGCTGAAAAGTTTTCTTTTAATAAATGTAGCTTATAAGTTGACTTTGGATCTGCGGCTGCCTTTTGTTTTTATTTGACAGCGTGTTAAACCCGCTCAGCAATGGCTTACCTAATTGATTTTGTTTGAAGCCATCACAATATTTGATCTCTGTCCCTGGATTGTTCAGATACATCAACTGAAAATGAAGTTGAATTGAAGGAAAAACAAGAAAATAATGACCTACTCATGAGGTAAAAATAGTAAAAGATTCCAGTTAACATGAGCCAACATTTGAGTTAAATATTCAACTAATGTATGAGGTAAAAATAACCCAATAATACAGTTCAAAATGGTCCTGCTTGGTTGTATAAAGCCAGCGTTTAGTTGGTCTGTATTTAACCCAGCAGTTCCCAATTTGGGTTGTTCATTTGTTTAGTGTTTAAATATATTCCTTTGCAAAAAGTGCCTTCTGTTTGTGGGATGTGTCTGTGACCCTGATTATAAACTCGCGCTGGCAATTTATCTGACTGCCTCATTTGGAGCAAATCCTGCTGAATGTCATTATATCCGGCATTGTAATGGAAGAACTGATTCGCTTTCAGGGTCGTCGGCAATATAGAGGCCAAGTTGGAGCGCACACACACGGTAGAAAATCACTAATTACAAATCACATCACTGTAATTTAGTGTTGTTCATGTTTTCATGAGAGAGTGATTCTGCTTCCAGAAACATCAATTTCTCCTCTCTAGAGTGGATGCTCACTCAGGTCACCATGTGGTGGACTCTGAAGCTTCAGTGTTTATCCAGCTCTGCATGGGTCTGTAAACCTTTCTGTGTTCTAACCTCTCTCCATTTTTCAAAAGCATCTCCAATATTGATCCTAGTTTGAGCACGTTTCTGCTCGTGGAGCTTATTAGAAACATGCAGAGGCTTTTTAGGTCGGGTACAATCACTTCTATCTGAACCACTTCTCTTGACCGCTTCCATCGCTGCAACACCTGTTGACCTGATAACTGCTCTCATATCTGACAAACTGAGGGGCGTCCAAAACGGCCGTGTGAGGGGGTCGCCTTAAAACCTCCTACCTTCTCTGGTCCAAACAAATCCGGAGCATTCAGGAGCAGAATCTAGTTAGAAGGAGGACATACTGGCTGCTGCATCGTTGTCAGAGAAGCCAGCACTTCAACATAGCATGTTTCCTTAATGATCAGATAGTAAGATACCTTTATCATTTCACTCTCTACACATCTCACTGATTGGACCTTTAAAATGGGACCTTTCCACCTCATAAGCAGCTTTCATTATGAATGTTAACTCCACGTCTTTTAGATTACTAACTTTATAAGACGAGACATTTGGGATTTCATGAAGGGAATGTTTTGACTTTTTCTTACATTGCATAAATTGATAAACTGAATAACTCATAAGATAATCGTTAGTTGCAAGGCTATACACATAATGATCCTTTCCTTTGGACATCAGCTTTACTACATTTATAGGAGAGAGGGATGAAAGCACTCAGATATGATGATCCTATAATGCAGCTTCGGTCTCTTGTGGTGAAGAATAAATGTTCTTTCAACATTTCCTCTAAACCCTGGAGTAGAAAGTAACCTCCAGTTGAGGATAATCTATTTTCCTCCTCCTCCAACAACATAATACATCAGCTCAGTTGATTAAAAATAGCTTTGGCTTTCTCTCACTTTGCCTCCGTGTTATTACAAAGCAGCAGTGAAAAAAAACAAAAACATTCAGCACAACACAGAAAATGAGATTCCCCGCCGTAGCATTTACCAGCCGCTATCAGATCAAACCGGTCCAATCACATTTTCTTCAGAACTTAATTCCACGTCTGTCCTCTCTGGCAAAACCGTTTTTTAAAAAAGAAATACCAACAGGTGCTCCGAGTAATTTAAAGATGTCGAGTGATAGTGCATGTTAAAGGTGCCGGCAAAGGCCATTAACATATTGCTCTGCCGCGTTATCACGTTTCCTCCAGAGTGCAGAGGCCAAATCGTCCCTGGAGTAAAACACTCGAGGGAGGCGGGGTTTGGGGGGGGGGTAGACAGTCAGACAGGACAGAGGACATTGAGGTGTTTTAATGTCTGGGGGGCTTGTAATTGTTTCTGAACTCTCTGAAGACTCCTTTTCTTTTCTCTCCATAAAAAGAAATAACCTAGATATGCAAATGTACGTTCCCAATTAATTTCATTCATATAATTATGCGGAGAGGAAAGAGATTGGGTTGAAAAAGAAAAGTCTAACTACCTTGTGTAGACTTGTCCTCCCACTCAGCCCCCCCCTTCCCCCCTCGCTCGCGCTACAGGGTATATGTCTGAATCAGCCTGCCCGTATTGAAGCGAGCTCTATTATGCAGATGAGCATCAATTATATCTGACATTTTTCACAAGTGGTCTTCTACCTTTTCTGAATCAATAAACAGTGAGGTGGAGGCGTTAATCAAGTAAAGATGTGACCTCACGACCCCCTTTGTCTGTTTTTAATGATTTCATCAACATTTAAGCGTCATGTCACTGCCTCTCCCAACCTAGTGTTTAAAATGTGTACTGCAATCTAAATTCTAAACCTCATAGAGAGCTGTCCCCCCCCCTCATATCTGGCAAACCGAGGGGCGTCCAAAATGGCCGTGTGGTGGTGGTGGTGGTATGACAAACAACATTAGAGAGGAAAGCGGTCTGCATCACCGAGGACCCTTCACATCCCCTTCAACACTTGTCTCAGCCGCTCCCTTTAGACCGCCGCTTCAGGGTACCCTTGGTTATAAAGAAAACTTATAGGAACTCCTTCATAGCTTTTTAAACAAGGCTAGACCTACATTACTTCTAAAAATTAATATATATGTATTTTCTTTTGTACAGAAAATATCAACAAAGAGAATTCAGAATCTTTTTAATCACAAAAAAAAAAAAATGCGAGCACCCTGCGAGTCCAGCTGAGAAGCTTTAAGATGAAGCCACCACAGAGCACCAACCAGCGAGGTTCTTTAAGCAGTCGCTGCAGGGCTTTCATTACAGAAAGTACAATTCATCATGAATCTAAACAAAGACGCTGAAGGACAATATTTGAATACATGCATTTCTATTTGTATTCAGCGTGTTGACCAGCGGACAGGACGACGATAACAACATACAGAAAGGAGAAGCATTAGAGATGGAAGCAAAACAAACTCCAACAATCAATATCACAACTGTGGCTCCCGTTTGCCAATTAGCACACTGAGACAATTAGAATATATGTAAATGCTTTGATTTAATTAATCCCATGACACGGTTGCACTAATTAGGTAATCCCACGCACTCCTCTTACTCCATATTTAAGACGAAACCCTCTCAGTCCAGATATGGGGGAGAGCAGACACCGCTGAGTGGAATCTGTAGGAATAACTACGACTTCAAGGTTTTTTTTTTTTTTCTCAACGAGATCTGACTAATTAGCGGTGATGTGTTTTCTGTCGGTGCAGACGATGAGCGTCGACAGACGAGGACACAGGAGAACCAACAAGGAACTTGTTTAATGTTAATCAAAAGATACAGACTTTTAATTCTCTTCTGTAATTAACAGAGCAATCATTGTGGGGAGCCGACTCTCTGGTGGTTCATGAATGACTTTAAGAAGAAAGAAATATTATTCTGTGCCTCGTGTTTAAAACCAGCCGAGAGCTGAGACGCTCAGGGGGTCATGATGTACTGAGGTCAGGGGCGTGTCCAGAGGGGTGGCACGGGCACCCTCTTGAAATGTATTTGACCACCACAAAAATAAGTATGTTTCCATTAGCTTGTGTTATGAAGTAGATATTATTGATGAGGTTAGAAAGGGTAAATAATTGATATGATTTGTTTAACTCAGAACCCAAGTTGGGCAACCTCAGTCAAAAGAAGTCTGGACACGCCCCTGACTGTCGTCCCCACTGGGACAAAAAAAGCCCGCTTCCATCGCTGCATCACCTGTTGGTTTGACCTGATAACTGCTCTCATATCTGGCAAACCGAGGGGCGTCCAAAACGGCCGTGTGGCGGGGTGTCTTAAAAGCGCCTACCTTCTCTGGTCCAAACAAATCCAGAGCATTCAGGAGCAGAATCTAAAGTTAGAAGGAGGACATACTGGCTGCTGCATTGTTGTCAGAGAAGCTAGCACATACTAGCGACCAGTTCTGGATGTTAACCCTCTTCCCCTCTCGATGAATGACAATTGGGATTGGCTCCAGCCCCCCCTGCACCCAGATTTGGAAAAGCTGTGTAGATAATGAAAGGATGGATGGATAAGTTTAAACTGAATTTAAAAGTGAAGACAAATCAAACTACAGCTGAAGGGGAAATGAATGTGTTGGTGAACTAATGAATATGTATAATAGCACTTTGTAGAAGCAAATGTTTTGTTGCAAGCTGTGTTAGTGAGGCATGCTGGTTCAGCTTCAGATTCTATGTTATGTCAGATCAAATGAGATAACACTGAAGGAAAGACTGGCTGGTGGAACTCTAGACGGCTCATTTCTAGGATTAATACCTCAAGTTAGGCAGCAAAGGAAGACAGAAGCACCTCCTAAATTAGATGTGTCAGAGACGTTAAATAAGCTGAGCAGAACAAGGAGCTCAGACTCAGAAAATAGGACATTGGACCCTCATTGTTTGGTGTCTGGCAAGGGATCGATTTCAAGTATGTGAATCATGGTAACCCAAAGGTCCGGGGTCTCTGATTGCAGCAAATTGCAGATTAAAGGGCCCTTCATAATGTTACACGAGTGCTCCCGACACACAGGCTGCTGCCGTCGTCTGTGATGACTTGTGACGTGTGTGTGTGTGTGTGTGTGTGTGTGCAGGAATGTGTGTTTTGTGTTGTTTCGCTTCAATGCACTTTGTGTTTTAGAGAAAGCGACAGCTGGAGGACGAGGAGAGACAACAGGAGAGA